TCCTCTGACTTCCCACACAGCAAGCTGCCTACGGATTCTCCAAGCCTTGAAAACAGGGAGAGGAGGACAGTCACCATTGCCATGGTAATGACAGAAAACACATCCCCACCTTCTGTCAGGCCACGTGTGAGAACATGTGTGTGCTATGCTCCTCTCCCAAGGGCTGGAGAGAGCTTTCTATTCTAAACAAGCAAGCAATCATCAAGGGCCTTCTGCAATTTTAAAATGCCGGATGCTGGCTGACAGCTGCAATTGCTACATCTCTAATAACAAAAGGGGACTTGGCACACGGAGGCAACGTGACGTGAGTTCTGCAGACAGGCTCCTGGCTTCTCAAGGGACAGAGATGATCAGGAGGGGGGGGACGGACTTCTCCTCTGCTCAACCCCTTCCCCATAGCCTGTGATTTACAGCTTCAATTTGAAAATGCCGCCCCCCCACCTCTCCCTTCTGCAAATGCCAATAACCCTGTTAGATGTGAAACTCCGAGACCTCCTGCAGGTGTGAACACAATTATCACAGTTCCAGGGTACAAGCTATTGTGTAACTGGGGAATTCCAGGACAACTGTTGCTAAGTTACAAAAAAAAATCTATCCAATGTTAGGAGGTTCATATTTAGCTGTTTTCTCTTTATACAGATATATTAATTAGGATGATTATTATTCTTTTTGTAGCCTGCAATACCCCTGCAGAAATTCATTAAGAGGGCAAAATATCCCTACTGAAGGAGTTAGTAGAAGAAATGCATAGCATGCCTCTCAAGAAGCTGTTACAGAGGAATTAGTTTACAGGGCAAGGGTTACAAATCTGGACATGAGCAGGTTTGGGGTTTTTTGGTTTGATTTTTTTTTTTTTTTTATTTGAACAAACTTACCAAAGGTCTCTGAATGTTAAAAAAAGGTAGGGAAAAAAAAAGGGAAAAAATAAGTTTGTTATAGCCAGTTATTTAGAAAACAGCAGACAACAACAAGACACAAAAGGTTTTTGTTTCTATGATGTAAGGTGGCGGCTGCAGGCTGCCTCCCGCTGTCCCCCCTAGGTGGCACGGCTGAGCAAAGGACATTGGCTTCTACTTTAAATGTCCCGAGACTGCTTGCACCCGGGTTAAGCAGAAATACCCGTTTCTCTTCCACCACCAAGATCAGTTAAACTCTTAGACAACCTGGGTCTCTAAGGCTGAGATGTTCATCTATGCCTAAGGGAAGCAGGAGCCTAGAGAGAGGTTTTCCCATTCTCCTTGGATTGACAATTCCGCTTTTCATTCAGTCAAAACCCCCAAGCATTAAATGATTTCCAGTTGCTTGGAAAGTTTATCTGGAGATGGAAAGGAGAAGAAATACTGGATAGAGAAAACCCTCTATGGTTAATGACGTATCACCTGTTTCTCAATTATATTGAAGACCCATAAAATAACGGGTCCACAGGATGACGTGAGCATAATGACCACGGCCTCGGAGGCCCATTTATATTGCCAGTGAAACATTCAGGGGTTTTTAATATAAATGAGAACCAAATGTGGACACGGCTACCCGATTTTGCAGAGCTCTGTGTATGACATTTCACTTGTACCTTTTAATGAGCTAATTTGCATGTTTGCCACTAACTCTTATGTTGATATCAATTCAGTTCTTAACACCCTTTGTAATAAAGCAGCAGGGCTGCTATCGTGATGACTTCATCTCCAAGCCAGGATCTGGGTGACTGTCCTGTCCTGCTCTCTCAGCCTGTTTCAAGTCTCCATCGGGGAGCAACGCACAGCCAAGTCTTCAGAGACAACAGGCGCTGGCGTCTATGCTAAGCCTGTTAGCCCAAAGTGCAGAGATGAAGTCGTGATTTAGTACCGGGGTCACTCCTCCTCCCTGCGCTCCTATTCACAGAGGACTTGTCAAACACCCGTGAGCTGGCTGTAATTGTTAATCCCCAAGAAGCTGGGCTGGAGTCATACTGATGACCTGTGGGTGAAAGACACTGAAGCTCATTAGCAGTGTCCCAGAGCATCCACTGCCCTAATGTGTGCTCATGCCACACTTCTGGCGGCAAAGTTTGTTTTCTGGAAAGATAAATGTATTAAATTAACTTCTGACTTTAGCAGCACTCACATCATCAGTGCTCAAACAGGCATCACCTTGCACATCCCGCTCAGGTTACAAATATGCACTTGAATCTGCTCTGCCTTGGTCTTAAAACAACGCCTTTCCACCGCCTAAAATACTAATGCAGTACAGATGACCCTAATGTTAATATGTTTTGCATTTTCACAGGCCTGTGGATCACAGAACTTGGAAGTTTTGACAGGCTGTAAAAGCAGATGGAATAGGGGAACTTGGAAGTCCTGACTGTCCAGGAATCTGCGCTCCCTTTCACACAGGCAACAGGCTTGTGCCCCTAAGGACAACGGGGATGCTTCAGGGTCTCACCAGCTTACTAATTCAAAGCAGCTGTAAATGAGATTAATTCTCAGCAGGTATCTTCTGATTTATCAGAGAGGCCAAGGGTTCACTCAGAGGCTAACCAATCCACTGGAATAAAAACGCAGCACTCAGGTGGCTTTAAGGAAAACACCAGATCAAACCCAGCTAAAGAGTATAAAGGCATTCTAGCAAGATGATAAATGTATTAAAAATAATCTGCCTGTGCATTACTCACACTTCAGATCACGGTCACAGAGCATGATATAATTCTAGTTTACCTCTCATTATTTATGCTGAGTGATTTTTTTTTATTTGCATTTGCCTCAGCTGTTAGGATAAACCAGGGAGGTCAATCTCATCTGTGTTTGTGGGATTCAACAATCCATTCTAATTCAACAAGCAGTTTAAGTATCTGCTTGTAAGTTTGCTTCACTGAATAAGGATGCGTTTATGCAGGTGTATAAAAGCTACACTGAACCGGAACTAGGCTGAATCTTTTCCACTGGTGGCCCACAGAACTAAAAATCTTGATCTAGAATCTTGGCAAGAGAAAAACCAGGCAGTTATATTCTCTGCTGCGCAGATCCAGCACTACAGTAGTCAGAACTGATTTCTTCGGAGCCAGCAGAGGTCTGGGCAGAAGCACTTGGCTACCACTTGACTGGACTTGTAAAACATCTAACACAAACGGAGCAAGCCCCGTTGCTTCACGGAAGCCTCTGCTTTCCCTTTGCCTACGACAATGCCATTCTTTTGCCAAAAAAAAAAAAGACTCTTGAAAATGCTCCATCTCGCTCAGCCAAAGGAATGTTCTGAGTAGCGGCTAGGACCAACCACGCAGACACGTTTTCTCTAGGCTGGGTCAAAGCACTCAGTCCAAGCAGTATTTGAAAAGGATTACTTCTGGGCTTAGTTTTTGTCAAAAAGGTAAAACTTCCAAAGCTGCTTTCATTTTTGCAGCTCTCAATGGAAGTGCTCTATCAGTAGCCTTCAACAAACACACCTGTGCCCTCCTTGCACACATACGCACATTCTCACACAGCGAACCGGCAGATTTAACAAGTATAAAAACAGCTCCTGAGATGTGAATATTAAGAGATGTCACATTGACACACACGCAAAACAACAAACATAAAACAAACAAAAGAGACAGATGGACAAGCAGATGGGGAAAGACGGAAAACTGACAAGAGCCACGGAGCTGGGGTACATCTGTTCATGGAGATCCACTCCATGGGCACTGCCACTGAGCACCAAGGGTCACCCCAGAATGCTCACAACTGCTCTCCAGCAATGACTGCAGGGACTCGCTGCCGGACAGATCCTGCAAGAGCTGTTCTTCAGCGCCAGCTTTGAAAGGCTCAATTTACACCACCAGGATCATGTTTTGACAGTCAGAGCCTGCCTGAGCTGTGGACCAGATGCATGTGGCCTAAAGTGCCATGTCTGTTCTTTTTTCCTTACCCAGTTCTTGGTCTGAGGGAAGAAACCCTCGGCTCCCATCCAGTCCCCAGTTCCCCCTGAGCTGGAAGAGCACCGTTATCCAGTGAACTAGTTGCTGGGTCTCCTGGATGGGAACCAGCTTCCCTGCTGTGATTCCCCTTATGTCAACTAGGCAGTAGGGAAGGGCAGGAGGGTTGGAGGGGAAAATACTCCAACCACTCCCTGAGTAAGAACATGAGTCCCAAAACCAAAGAAAAGCTAACGTCCCAATCCACACCAGTGCTGGTCGTGTCTATCAGCCCTCTCTTCTGCTTCAGAAACCTCTGAGTGAGTGGTCTCTTCACGTCTCTATCGAGGTCTCAATGCCTCTAGTCTCACACAGAGACCTTACCTGATCTCAGTTGTTTTATTCTCCCATTGCTTGCGCTGGGGTCGACAGGCAGGAAATCTTTAAACCAAGTGATCTCTGGGTCTGGGTTCCCACTGGCCGCACAGAGCATCGTGGCTGTTCGTGTCCGCTCCACCACTTTCAGCTGGGGCCCCATATCAATGTTTGGGAAGCCGGGAGGTAACTGGTCCTCTGGTGGTAGAGAACAAAGGAGTGGTTAAACACGTACTAGGGACTGGGGCAGCTGAAGGAGGTGTTCAGTGGAATACAGCAAAGGAAGCACCGGGCAGACTTGCTGCCCAGTACTCTGTGCAATGCAATTTAAAACAAGGCTACAGTAAATGGTCCAGAGCTGGTTTGTGAAAACACATTATACAGTCAAATGTACCAACCTATCCATTTCGTGTGACGACGCTAACGTCCCACAAGAAAATTCTACATTTAAATGCAATCTATTAAAACCCTTTGGGGCACGGGAACAGTCATTCCAAAGTTTCTCCAGGTCTTGCACTGAGTCCCTCTGCCAGGTTCCGTGACTCACACTTGTTTTTACAGCAGAAGCTGTGCACACATATGGCAAAGCTCCCTGCACTGCAGAGTACGGTCTACACAGGCACATTGAAAGGTTCATCTTCCACCTCCAAACCCCACAGCACGAAACAAACTGCACAAGAGAAATAATGAAAGCGACTACGTGAAAAGGCCTGTCAAAGACCCAGCGGAAAGCAGGAGAGCAAGGAGAGGAAAATCTCATCCAGCTGTAGCTACCAGAGGGGACACACATAACGGGAAGCCAAGTGCTGTCAGACAGGGCGTGATTTTTAGATTTATTAATTCAGAGTGCTGCTGCTCTAGAAGGAGAGGGACGTGGCACCAGCACCTAGAAGATGGGCTCAGCTTCCTGCTTCCTCTCAATCTTGCCTTTGCCTTCACTAATGAGGGTGAGGAGGGCAATCCTAACCGATGCTGACTAATTTGTGGTAACTTATACAATACCCCAGTGCTTCCCCCATAATCTTTCTCACGACCTCCTAACTCATGTGGAACAGAGCTGTCTTATGCTGGCTGGCACAGCTCAGGAACATGCCATTTTTTTCTCCCCAAAAAAATCAGTCTTTGGGGGAGGGCAGCCTGGAAGGAGGATGTGGGCACCAGGGTGAGACTTTATAGGGATTCTCTGTCATTTCAAATGGGGAATCGCACAGCCTCGGGAATCTATGGCATTGAATCCATCCCAAATGCAGGTGAGGGAAGAGAAGGGAAATAGCAGAAAAGATTTCTAAAAGGTGGGATTTTTAAAACAGTAATCACGATCAGCCCCCCACCAAAACCAATGGGAGCTCTCACATCGGCAGCAGAGATGGGCTGGAAACCCTTGCCTTGGTTGGGAAACATCCCTGCCAACTGCAAACACAGCGAGAGCTCATTTCCTACTGCTGGCACACTACGTATCAGAAGCAACGGAGCCAAACTACGTATAGCTGAACCCAGAGCCAGTGGAAGAAGACAGAAACCCAGTGGCCTTGCTGTGCTGGGCATCTCTTCCTGCACGAGCAAAGCAGAATCGCCAGATCCCAGTAGTGCTCTACGTGAGCTCCAAACACACACGATGTAAGAGCTAGTCCAACGCTGCTGTGCCTCACGCTCAACTTCTAGAAATCTATGAAGATCATGAAGGCAGAGCTAAAGGTCTGTGCGGTGCTCTGACACCCAAGGCCAAGAAACTCTTGTCTAATGCCGTTATTAGCAGCGCACAGCTACCGCAGAGAAAAAAAGGGTTTAAATGCCTCAATTGTGTGTTTAAAAATGTGCATTGTTTCCTTCCTCTGACCACGGTTGGAGAGTTAGAAAGGATCTGTTGTGACTCACCGGAGTGTGAAATGTATTAACCACACCTCTCCTCATGTATCAAAGGAATCTGACCACAAACAAAAACACGTACCATTTTATAACTGCTGAAGTAATACCGATCTCCTAGCACCGACAAACCTACAGTTATATACAGGCATAGGCATTTTGGTGCGGCTGAAGCATCTCTAAACCAGGGTATTGCATTCTAAATAGAAACATAAACATCTTTATCTAGGGACTGAACCAAACCTTTGGGTTCTCAGGTCACCAGGCTGGGCTCGGGTTTTGTAGGAGTCTCCAAACAGTGCGTGCTCTGGCGGACCACGTGTGCTGCAAAGCCCTAGCCCCTCCAAGAGTGAGCTCAGGACAGAGGGGCCCTGGGAATTGCTTTGCCTTTGCACAGCTTTCAGCCAGGCTTTTAACGTCTTCTCTTCCCTTCTGCTATTTAACCAGGCGGTGGTGTGTTGTTAAGGAGCCGCCGAGCTGCTGCCGCATTGGCTGCAGATGACATCATTATTGATTACTGCTTTCATCCTGCTCCCTGGTGATGCTCCTCCACCTGGCTCAAACCCGCGTCCCTTAATTTCATGAACCAATTAATCCACAGACAGAATAGCCCTCTTGACTGGCAGGGGGGGTGTGTGTGAGTGCGTGTGTGTGCATGTGCACGTGTGTTGGGGGAGGCCGGGTACAACCATTATTACCGAGTGTTTCTAATTAAACAAAAATGTTAATCTTGCAGCACAATGTGCAGAATTCCTCTGAGTTTAATTAAAACAACTGCGACTAGAGGCGTGATCAGATTTGAGGATCAGATCAGCGGAGGAAGCATCTCTGAACATCACATATTGCACTGATTCAAGTGCTCAGATTTCCTTCCTGCCAGGAAAGTGAAACTGCCTTCACCCCCTAACAATTGGATTCCCTGTAATAATGCAATTACAACCTCAACTCAATCCCCACAGGGCATGCACACACATGCCCTGCCACCCTCCCCATCAATCCCCAAACACCAGCCCAAACCTGCTACCAAATAAATAAATAAGGAACGGTTTGGATTGTGAATTCTCTTTCTGAAAGCAGCCCAGGCAACTGCAAGAACAAAAGAACCAAGATGCAAGCTGAAGATGCTTCAAGGGCACATCTGGGCAGCTGCCTGCTGTTGAAAATCATGCTAGCTTACGCAGGCAAATGTTTTCCTCTGTTGTGCTTGCCATATTAACAGAGCATCTCAAACACCTCATTCATACCCGCTCTTGGACTGAGGTGGTTTAGAGGCCCCCCCCTGCCAAAAGCTGGTGAACTACCTCAAGGCCACTGAACAAAGTAGGGTGACAAAGAATAGGGGCGGAGGGATGGAGGGAGGCAGGGAGAAAAGAGAAGAGCATTTCAGCATTCATTTATAATAAATCCTACCAGAGGACATGCTCTGTGCTGGGGGACATGCCTCGAACCAAGCTGGGCGCATGCGCCGACACACACACGGTCGTACAGAAAAAGCAAGGGTTGCCAGCTACGGCGAAGGGAGACGCCGGTGCTCGCCGTCTCCTTGTCGCTCTAGAAGGTGGCAGCTCTGTGTTTAGATAATTAGCTGTGCTGGAAATGAGGATGATAAAGAAAGATAAAGTGGGTGTTGCTGCTGCTCTTTTTCCCGCAGGGTGTGCACAGTTGTTTAATAATTTAGAGGAGAAGGAGGGTGTGAGCTTGTGCAGACACGCTACGTACTGAATGCAGAAAGCCACAAAGAGGAGGTTGCTGAAGAAGAGGAGTACCTAAAGGGGGCCTATAGGAAAGATGGGCTGCTGAAGAAGAGGAGTAATTTTTCACTCTTCTCCGGAGATATGCGACCTGGCTCATGGATGCTGGCTGGTCTCGGGGTGGGAAGAACCAAGAACACAGAGATGAAGCACTCTTCTCCGGAGACATGCGACCTGGCTCATGGATGCTGGCTGGTCTCGGGGTGGGAAGAACCAAGAACACAGAGATGAAGCAGCTCGAGTGACATTAGTTCTAAGTAGAATCAGGATCAAAATCCAGAACTCCTGAAACTTATCCCTGTTCTTTTCATTAAGTTTATGAACACTTACAGCTGCCCCCCTCCCCAGCAGGTATCCTGGCATTAGGCACCTTGTGAAATGACGTCAAGTTACTTCCATCAATGTGTATGTACCTGTGACTTAGCTAACTGTTATTTCACAGCCTAAGACAGTTTTTAATGCACGGAGGAGCCTCACTAACATGTTCTGTTCGCTGATTCCATTTATTTTGATCTGAAAGTTTTACTATGAAAATGGTAATTAGCCTAACAATGTTATTAAAAACGTGCAGGCTAATAGACAATACATACACACTTAGATCATAGAATCGTTTAGGTTGGAAAAGCTCTTTAAGATCACCAAGCCCAACCGTTCCCCTAACCCTGCCATCCCACCACTAAACCCTGGCCCTCAGCACCACGTCTGTATGTGTTGGAGCCCGTAACAGTGCAGGCAATAACGACATTATTCATAAGCTACAGAACTAATCTGCTTCCAACGTGGCCTGATTTTCAGGTCACTACAACAAAAGCAAAACAAGTCAAGTTTGAAGAAAGTCTGCCAAGATGGCAAGGTAACATTTCAGAGGGGCCAGCTTCTCCTTAAGATGTGCTCCTGTGGGACTCGATGCTTTCTGCTGAGCATCTAGAACCGATTTTTGTTTACCTTTTGCTGATCTAAAGCCAACAATTACAAAAAACAACAAAACAGCAGGGATCTTGCTAGAACTTTATACATGCCCACACCAGATGTCCTCTTGGAGTAGGAAATATGTGAGGAAAATTTCAGGCCAGAATTGTTAGAGGAATGTATGAACACTTCCTAAAAAAAGAATGACCAGGGAATCACTAGAAAGAAGTTCTGAAAGTCTGTCCATCGCAGCCTGAATCCCACTCTGCTAGTACGTACCACAGACCTTACATGTCTAATAGCCAGTTTTCCTCAATTTTCCAGAACGTAGTAATACTTGGGAAAAGACAGCATTGGCCAGTATGCATCGAGCGATATATCAGGGCACAGAGTAAATTTTGTTCCATTACATCTAACTGGACCAAACACTGTTTTTTTATGGGATCATGCTGCATTTACTAACAACTCACAGAACTCTATGAGCTTCAACAGAGCCAAGAACTAAGCCTGGCTGGCCTCTGCTTGGGCTGTGCTGCTCCCAGCAGCGGAGGCAAGGCAGGCAGAAGGCTGCAGCCAGCCCCCCGTACCCTGAGCCCACTCAGCTGCTGACAGCACAGGGCAATCCTTCACAGCACGAGAATCTCCGTCTCAGGCT